ACGAGAGATTAATAATTATTATAAACGACTTGAATTCAACATGCTTTTGAGAATAACTTTTCTTAAAAGAAAGTAATAACAAGTTTTGACTTGATAACCAAAAATTATTCACTAATAAATATCCTATTCGGTTTAGTTACAATATGTTATTTTATTGTAATTATAATAAGGTTTTCCCTATACTATTAGTATAATATCCTCCTCAGTATAACCTAGATTTCTTAATGATTGCTCAACAACATTTATCATTCCAGGTTGTCCACAAACAATTATTTTACTGTCATGATTAAGTTTAGGTTTCCTATTATAATTATCAATAACAGTAGCATTGTTACTACTAATTTCACTACCAGTATTTATAACAGATGATGATGGTCTTGAATCAATTAATAAATTATTATTGTCATTATTAATATTCATATTATCATTCATGTTACTATTCGTATAATTGATATTCGTATTATTATTATTATATGTATGGGGAGATAGTAGTTGTTGTGGTGGTGATGAAATTGTTGAATATTGTTGGAAATGGAATTGTTGACGTTGTGGTGGCGGTGATGATAATAATGGTGTTCTATAATGTTGATAATTAGGACTTAAAGCACTTTCAGGATTAATTGATGATCTGTAAGAAGTATTCTGATCATTATTATTCACCATAATTGGTGGCAGTGATGGTTTACGAGGTTTTGTATGCAGTGGTATTATTGGTGGTGAATTATTGTTATTATCATCATACAATAAAGGATTATGAAGTTGTGGTGGACTTTTACTAATTGACGAATTTGTTGTATTTGTATTATTAAGCTGTAGTGGACTTGTACTAACCGGTAAATATGTTGTATTTGTTGTGTTGTTATTATTTTTAAATTGCATCATATTTGTCATTATTGAACCAACATATGGTAAACGTTTTTTAGTACTAGGGGAGTCTGCTATAATTGTTGTGTTGCTGCCGTTGTTGTTGTTGTTGTTGTTGTTGCTGCTGCTGTTGTTATTGTTATTGCTATTATTGTTGTTATTGTTATTATTATAATTGTTGTTATTATTATTATTATTGTAATTGTTATCATTATTATCGTAAATTTTATTATTATCAGTTTCATCAGCATTGACAATAAATTTACTTAACCAATCTGAAATCATTTTTTGATCAATATCACCATTTTTCCCTGTCCAAACTTGAGTTGGTTCATTTAGTGCATATGTTATAGTTAGCATACCTCTACTACTTAATCGATACTCTTCTAGTTCTACACCATTAATTATATCCTCTATTTTATGATTACCATATAACAAATGCATTGATACTCGTTTATTACGCATTGTTGATGCCTGACTACGTCTCATACACAATTCCAAATGATATGTTATCAACTATTTCATTATAATAATGATGATAAGTATAAATGATAAAAAATGATGAATTATAAATACATTATTATTCTACAACAGAAACTTACTTGTAACATTGGTGTAATTCCAGTACCACCACAAATCATGTATAATTCTTTCCAGTGACCATCCTGAGTATTAGGATTAAGTAAGGAACTTGTTGATGAAGATATAAATGATGGGGTGGATAAGCTATATATACTTGATTTTCTATATTGTGATGCTGCATCAACAGTCTGGGATAATGTTGGTGTTTGCAAAACTTCTCTATCTCCAACATCAAATGGAATGAAAATGAGAACACACAAAGCCTGTTTTCTGACGAAACTTTTCTTTCGGGCGATGTTGTTGGTCTAGCTTCAGATGGAGCGGGCGGTGGCATGTGTTCTGGATCTAGTGACAGAGCATTACACATTTATTTCATGATCACATGGTTTATGTATTCTAGTCAGATGAACAAATAAGAAATGAATTTGTAACGCCAAGATTTGATGAGTTAACCGGATAAAAAAGTACATTAACCGGTTAATGATGCCAACTACAACCTTTAATTATCTGTTGTAGGAAAAATAAAAATATTTAATCCAAAAAGAATGAATTTTGGAAACGAAGAAGATCGGCACGAATTCTAATTTTCGAGTGTAATAGTAAACAAAAAACATTGTTCGTAATTTGAACTCCCAAAGGAGAAAATATTTATTACTACTGTAATTTTGGACTGGAGATAGTAACAATAATAATTAAATATGAGGAATGCATTCTTTTTGATTGTATAATTTTCATTTTCATTTTTACCTATTAAAATAAAATATATACTTAAAGATTCGTGTGAAAAGGAAATTTATTAATAGGAATGTTATTTATATATCATTCATATTGATTGATGCATTAATGGATGTATTAATGGGCTGATAATGTTGATTGGTAAATTTCATAATGAGTTAGGTTTCTTTGTCCGGGGAAAAGAAAAAGAGATTAATGTGTGTAATTAATTCATTTATTTTACTTGGAAAAACATTCTTATTTTTTGACAGACAA